GCTTAAATTCGTACCTTGTCTAGTGGTCCATTCCCTGATAAAAAAATAATTTGTGAATGGACATTTTGCAACCGTGAAATTCGGTTAAGTTCCATTGTCTGGGGAAGAGCGACTTACAGCCTCACGATTCTATTCTGGCACATCCTGTATTTTCAACTTGTTATTGTCGACGTTATTTTTGTTCTTGCCACAGGATCGAGCAACATAGCAGGCAGTTACTGAAAAGCTTTGAATCGATAGGCGTGGCGTGTTTTGTAATAAATCGATTGATCTGCCATTCAAATCCAAGGAAAAGGATCGATGAACAGGATGCTCGCAACGAACACCTTAATAATCGATTCTTTACTACATCTCCAGAAAGAGAAATATCGATAATCGATCATTATCGCCTTGCCAGTGACAATCGATACGTAGTTTTTGTTTCTTTTCGAAACTTTCCACGATCGAGCAGTCTGAAAATTCTTTCCTCTCTCTTTGCAAACGAAGACGTGCAGATTTAAAAAGTGAGCCTCGGGTATCGTCCGGCACTTCAATCAGCGAGCTCGGTGCGTGACGATCATGCGTCACGGAGGTCTTGTACGTTACGTTCTCGTTATAGTTATCCTGGTGTGTCCGTTCTCGGGAGCGGTAAGTAACATCCAATGAATGTGCAGTTCGAAAGACCTCCCGAAAGTCCATTTTTTTCGTACCGAGATGGACCACTTAACAGGGGAAGGAGAAGCACTTCAGCACATCGATAGTGAAACTGCAGCAATGCGTATCTCGTTTTGCGGTGTGCAGTGGATCGAGTCTATAGGAGAGGCCTGACAAAATTTGGAAATTTCAAACGCTTATAACTCCGTTTATACAAAACATCGAGGTTTTGAAAGAGGTTTCAATGGTTTCTTCGTCGAATTTTCATTCAAAAGCACCCCTCGTAATTCAAAATGAAACGAAATAAACATCAAAATTTGCGGTTCTAGTAAAAAATTTCATGTCCGATCTCTTTAATTGACTCGATCGATTGTGTGGCGTTGCAGACTTCCTGAAATACTTTATTTTCTACGTGAAAAACGTCATTCCGTTTCGTCATCGTCACACGTTACACATTATTTCTTGAAAACTTTGATGATTTTATTTTCTGTGCGATGAATACTCCGTGCAAAATTTCAAGCCATATAATGTTGCCTGGGTCTCATGTTGAAAAATAAAGTATGAGCGGAGATTTTGAAACACTGCAACTGAGATACGCATTTTTGCAGTTTCACCGTCAACATGGTTTCGCATCAAAATTTCACGTGGGGTGCATTAGAGAAATCGAAGAAGTTAAAATTAACTCATATGTAAAAAATAAATGCGCGTGGTTTACATTTTTAACAGTAAATTAAAACTTGTAGCTCGCGAAGAAACCATCATCAACCTTATCGAGCATTGAAATCCACCTATACGTTAAGAAAATAACATGATACTTGTTTTCACACAAATTTCCTTCCTTCTTTGATTTAAGTTATCTCTGATTTTGTCACAATGAAGTTACTACACAGACAAATCTTCCATCATAAAATTTACACAAATTTCCTCGAAGCTCGATTCGACGGATCTAAATCTCGGTTTTTCTGCTAGTAAGAGGAGTGATTAAAAATAGACATAGCCCTTTTTATGCTGACTTATGAGTTGAATTTGGAGAGGTTAGAGTGCGTCGAATTCTACGTATTTCGTTGTGGTTCGTAATTTTGCGCCCTTTCTAGAGTCCCTGGTAAAAATTGGCGGTAGAATGTGTGATCCAAAATACTATAGACCTAAAGCCGGCTGTAAGATTTCCAATAGCTTCTATAGCCGACTGTACAATTTCTTATAGCCTTTTATAGCCGATGGCGATTAAGCAACAGCCAGACGATAAAGTTTATGCTAAACGTATTACTAATTACGGATACTAGGACTTAGTTTTTAGACTACCGTTCTCTTTTTGTGCCGTAGTATCTGGATTTATTTTGCGAGGAAAGCTCCGTACTTTTGAAGGATGCTTGTCATTCTTAATATGTTGGAGCGCCTTCAATTTCTTATGATACTGTGCAATACCTCTGGTGTGAAATAGTTGCTTCAGACGCCGTGGCACATTGCGGCGCAGCGGGCGGGCAGAGAGCGCAAAATGCGCACTGGCGCCTACAAACCTAACAGGGATACTTCACGCATTGCGCAATGCGTGAAGTATCCCTGTTAGGTTTGTAGGCGCCACTGCGTCGCCGCTTCGCACTCTCTTATACAGCTCTCGTCGCAGGCTCTAATATTTAATCTCGCGGAGTCTGCGTTTTTCAACTCATGATTTTGAAATGTTTGCTCACTCTGTATGGACTAATCTCATTTTAATTGATGAAGAAAAAATATGTTTTAAAGGAAAATATAATGTGTGTTTTGTAAATATTAAGGTAGTTCCGTATCAAACTTGATGAATTCCAAAGCATACGAATTTCTACACAATTTCTTATAGCCTCTTATAGCCAATGGCGATAAAGTGTAAAGCCCGGCGATAAGAACTATAGCCCGACTGTATACTTTTTTATAGCTTCGTATAGGCCGGCTATATGATTTGCTCCGTTTTCTACAGTCAGCTATATGATTTTCAACAGCCATCTTTAGTCGGCTATAAGAACTTCTATGGTATTTTGAAGCGCAGCTCCTATCGCCAATTTTTACCAGGGGTGTCATTGGGATTTGGATCGAAATTGGGCTCTCTGGAGGTATGAGCATTTATCCTGAAAAATTCGTGCGCGAAATTTTCCTTAAAGCCCTCCGTGAAAGGAACTGACGGATCTTGAGCTTTCACAAAATGCTTTGTGGGTACGATCGATCAATTCAAAATCAAACCACCGGGGAGATTTCTTTGGAAGTGTCAAAATTTCAGTCTGTAGATTAATTACAAAGGGGAAAAAACTGAGATCAAGTCCTGGTGATTTTGCCAACGGGCGTAAAACTCAGTTACATGGAACATCGAAATCCTCATTTCAGAGGGAAAGCTCATTCGGGTAAGGCATTTCTATGAGCATGAGTTTTCCTTTTAAACTGAGGATTTCAGTTATATTCTAGTAAATTTTTTGTCTTCTAAAGAAAAATTCCCCCAACCCAAAGACCTAAGAAGAATCCAGGTATTTCCAACCGCGTTCTTAAGTTACAGCAAAATTCCGGGGGTTTTTGGGTCCCTACTCGTATAGAACCACCTTAAATGAATGGATATCGTTATTACGACTGTTTTGGGCAGGAGCCGTCTAAAGAGCTGATTGACTTGGTAAAAAAGGACCAATGCGCGGAGTTGAAGAATAAGAAAATAGAGCAAACATATGAATTTGCCCAGCTGAGCCGAGCGGCTGAGAGGCAGTGCTATGCGATATACCGAGAGTTTTCGAAATGGCCACGTGAGGAACAAGGCGAATGCAAGGACGGCCAGTACGGGGGTTGCAGTGGCACAAGGGACTTTCTAGGCCTAGGTCCTCTTACGCACCGCTGCGCAGTTGTTGTTCCCGGCAAAACATGCAAAACGAGGAGGGTAAGCTCACTCTTTAGATTGATACCGAGGTGTAACATTCACTAAAGGCAAAAAAGCGTGGAAATAAGAGATGATAGTGGGGTATGGTTGTTAAAAATGGTGGACAAAGCTGCAGACAAAGAAGACAAAAAGGATATGGAGGGATCCTGTTGGTGGGAGTAGATGGTTGCAATGGACAAAGGAGGTACACGGGAAAAAAAACATCGTGCGTGGGACCCGAAGTTTAGGTCATATGGATCTCTGAAGTGTTCAGATTGAGCATCTGAACACTTAAGGTCTAGCTATCGAGGTTCGAATCACACATCTGAGGTACTTCGGTTTTCACATCCGAAAAACTTCGGTTCTCACATCTGAAGTACTTCAGATGTAAGAACTGAAGCACTTCAGATGTAAGAACTGTAGTTTTAGATGTCAGACCTGAACTTCGGCAGCTAGACCTCAAGTGTTCAGATGCTCAATCCGAAAACTTCAGAGATCCATATGACCTATAAACTTCGGGTCCCACGCACGAAGTTTTTTCCTCCGTGTAGGTAACGGACTAACTAGCGACACCTTATACGAGAGAACCAAAATGAGTCCATCATTTTCTCCCTTAGCCTATAGGAACCACCCATTTCAACAGTGGATCCCTCTATACCCCCTATGTTTTCTTTGTCTATCGCTTTGTCTATAAATTTCAACGATCAGCTCGCAAGGACGAGTTTTATAGGACCCTGGATTCCTTCAGAGCCACGCAAGCAGCAGAGACAAGAGACCCTCCACTGGCCTTTTGGCGACGAACCAAGGGGCCTTTACTGTCGGGGATTCAACACTCCCTTATGGACAGTTATAAAAAAGCACCATGTCGAATTTTTTCGACTGTTGATGTGCCTACTAAGTGGATGATGAGCTTGGAGTGACGTCATGCGAGCCAAACAAGTTTCCCACACTTCCATTAGTTTGCATTTTCTCTCTGTTTGAACCTCCACTATGGCGGACCATAGTAGAGGTCCAAACTAAAACGTTTTTTTCAAATGTACAATGCATAATATTGGATTCAAAACTGAGTAAATACGTCTACCTTTGGGATTAGAGTAAATTTCATGGCCGTACATACAAACAGAATTTCATCGTCTGCACTTAAAAATGGTCGGCATGTGACATTCGCCATTTTTTTATGCTAAGAGCTCCTTAAAAGGTCTGAGGTGGCTGAACTAATCACGAGTAGACCGCACAGTGGCCACATTCTGTCTACAAGGGAACTAGTAAGAGATGCTAGACACCCTGGTGTATCAGGGCTGATATTTTCCTGATTTTTCGACGACTCCTGGCACGGTAGGCAAAAACCAGCAAGACTTTTCCGCTGAGGAGATTCGCGTAAGAAAAATTCCTGATAAAACGTCCGATTTTTCCAATATTCCTGATTCTTTCCTGATCGGCCAAAACTCCTGGTAATTCCCGATTTTTCCGGGTTTTTTCTGACGCTAGACACCCTGTATACATGAAAGATGAGAGGGAATGCTCTCTAGCCCTCTTGTTGTTCCAGGTCTCCATCTACAGGTGCGTGAATTGGGCTCGCCAAAAAAACCGCCTGACCTCCCCTCTCCGCTCCCTGTCTTTCGGCAACGGCAAGAAACCCAATCCACCGCAACCACCGCGCTCGAACCCGAATCCACCACCACAATCAACACCAAACCGGTCGCGACTCAACATCGCTAACGGAGTCACCAAGCCCCCTGCGAAGCCCATCCTATGTCGCCACGACACATCCTGCGGCTGCCCGGACTCGAATCGCTACTACGAAGGCGTCCTGAACTACGAGACCGAATCTGAGAGTGGGCACTTCATGGCGGTGCCACCGCCGCCTCCAGATCGCCTTCCCATTCCGCCTCCACCACTCTCCAATCGGGCCACGCAAAACCCTCGCCAGGAGGTACCGCATCCTCGCGTGGTTATCCGCCCGGAGATGCAGCGTGGAAGCGTCTACCTCGGCCACGAGTCGGAGGGAGATAGCGCTCGTTGGGTATCCCACGCGCCGCCTCCGCCACCTTCCGCCACCTCCACCTCTTCCCCGGAGAGCGACCCGGAGTGGGTCCCTCAACCTCCACCGCGACCCTCTTTTATGACCGATGCCCCGCGGATGGACCTACCGCCGACCGTCCCTCGGCCGCGGAGGACCCCCTCGTCTGGCGGACCTACCTCCCAGGTCTACCCTCAGAGTAACGGGAGACCCGCTGGTCGGGCCGCCTCTCAGAAGGATGGGAAACCTGCTGGTCAGAAAGCGGCTAAAGATAACGGGAAGTCACGAAAAAAACCGAACGGGAGAGCGGTTGGGGGATAGTTGGCCTGAGTGAGATTTCAGACTGGCTACTAAAGGAAGTACTGAATTTGCACTGATTCCTACCTCGGTCAGCTACATGCTCATTTTCTCGTTTTAATTTTTACATTTTTTAGCTTCTGTTCCAGTTGAGAATGGGCATGTAATTGGCCCGAAACGTCCTAGTTGTTTTTTTATGTCTCCTCTAGCCTTGTATACCTCTTTGTTTTTTGTGTTTTAGTGTGTTTTTATTCCTACTAGAGGAATTGGACGGGTTATTGAAGGAAGGTATGACTACCAAAAGTCATGCACCGAAAAAAAGAGATGCTATAGTAACATCCTGGATGTGCGAATAATGTGCGACAACTCTTGGATGCTCCTATTACCACTCTGGCAATGCACGTAGGATGATAGGATGTAAAAGTAACATCCTAGGATGTTATTTAAACAGCCAGAGTGGTAATGACAACATCCAAGAGTTGTCACACATTTTTTTTAACATCCAGGATGTTACTACAGCACCTCTTTTTTTCGGAACATGAATAATATCGACGGTGTAGCTACCAGATCACGTATCTCGTTTGCGGTGTTTACAAATCTCCACCCACGTTTTATTTTTGTGAAGGAGATCAAATCAATATCATTCGTTACGATTTTCACAGATTTTTCTCCGCACGAAGAGGGAAAATCACGGAAGTTTTTACGAATTGACGTTGAGTAGTTTTCCATTTAAAAAATGAAGTGTGTCAGGAAGTCTGCGACGTCGCAAACTGAGATACGTGGTTCAGTAGTTTCACATGCGATGTTTTGTATTTCTGAATCATAATTTTGAAGCTTTAATACGATTTTTTGCAGCTTTTCCTTACATATAAATAAATAAATTAAGTATTTGACGAGGAGTCTAGTATTTCCTCGTAACATTTCCTTCTGCTTGCACCTCTTGAAATTTAAAATGTGACGGAATAAACATCAAAATTTGCAGATTTAGTCAAACATATAATGTCCGACCTCTTTAATTGATCCGATCCGCTGTGCGGCGTTTTTTCATGGGACGGCAGTATACGATTCAAGCACCACAGCCGAAATGGAAAACCGTACTGAGTTTCGTGTCACCGATTCTTTTTTCTTCTCAGTGCACTGGCTACCGAGCACTGACGCAATACACCCTGCGCGCCACGCGCATATTCGAAATTTTTTGAACTTGTTGAGACTGCGAAAAAAAACCTTTTAAAAAGGATTCCTCATCGTCACGCGTCAAAAAACTGTCCACTTTTTTTAAATTCTAGAGTCGTTGAACGCAGTGCTCAGTCAATGATTTTCGCACTGGAAGAAGCCGTCACACTTTTTCCCTCAACTTTTTTCGATTAATGTAAAACGCGGTTGTCCCATTTATAAAGTCAGGACAGCTCTGCACATTATGATGCTATGTTAAAGAAAAACGCAGTAAGAGCGTTTGAATGTTGCCAAATTTCTATCCAGAAAGTATGCACATTATGATGCTATGTTAAAGAAAAACGCAGTAAGAGCGTTTGAATGTTGCCAAATTTCTATCCAGAAAGTATGCATTTTTCGAAAAAATTATGAATATTCGTACCTTGAATATGCAGGTACCACGGATAAAGTTGCGAATAAAATGCTCTAAAAATTGGGAGGAAAAATATCCACAGGTTTTTCAGAAAATTAGTAGCTTATCAAACGAAATTTGGCAACATCTCAAGGTTCATACGACGTTCTTCCTCAGCAGGGCAGTCTAGCGATTTGTATCATAATATCGGCAAAAGATGGCAAAAAAAGGAGGGAAATTGAACGCCGTCATTAAATCCGACATCCATTGCAGAATTGGATTACATTTTGCGATAAGGAACCCCTATCTTTGGCTCCCCCATAAAAGCACATATCTGCATAGGGAAACCAATGGCATGTATGTTGATTCTAAAATGGGCCAGAAATAGTGACTCCTTATTGCAAAATGTAATCAAATTCAAACTCGTTTTTGGAATTCTAGTTTTATTCCGTTCGTTTTTCCTCACTCCCCTCAGTGTTGTCATTCATGAATACGATATAAACAATTCCGGTGCTAGATGATTTCTTTAGGAGAATGACGTTAGCATCGCTTGAATGGCCAACACACCATTCTCCCGGCAGATGTTTTCGTGGGATGCTGGGAATGCGAACGGATATTTTTGCAGAAAAAAGCTGAAACTGGAGCTATTAATGTACAGGGAATTTAATCATTTGCCAGTGATGAGGATTTACACTACTGCACATCTCTTAGTTGCGTTTCGCCGCCCGCAAAACTGCAAAAACGAACTCGCAAAAACGCTGGATTCGAAGGTGATTAACTCCGCGGACTTTGCCATGTTGGAACGAAAATTCTTATCGTTAATGGTTGGCGAGTTTATATCTTATGATTTTTAAATGTTCTCGGATCGCTAATGATACTCTGATTCCCGAACAATTTTACAGTTGTTTTCGCAGACAAATCGTCGCCCCTCTGACTTAAGAGCGCACACTGGACCGAATCAAAGGGAGGAGTGGACAAAATCTGTAAACTTTGAAAGCTCATATTTTCGAAAGTATGAGACAAAATAGCTTTTAAGTGGTTCCATTGGTTTCTTGGAGGAATGGACATGTTGCATGTGTGAGGAATTCGCGATTTGACCATCGATTCATATGTAAAAGTTCTTGAGAAACACGATGGTGCCACTGAAAATCGATTTTATCGGAAAAACTTGGCAACATCTGAGTGCTCATACGGCATTTTTCCTTAGTGCGTAGGTGTAAATGTGTAAGTTGAAGACGGTAAGAAATAAAAAATTTAAAAACGTGTTGGAAGGACTCACCACTTCAAATCATTTTGAATTGCACTTAAAGTTATGAACCAGCAAACACATACCTGAAACAGAGGTATAAATAATTATGAGACAGACTAATAACTTTTCAAAGGCAGGACAGCGATGTTATATTGTGTGAAAAATTACCCAAACCTGTTAATTTTCAAAAGGAACAATCTGTGTAAGTCATTAAAATATGACGGCAAAATGAGTTATTATTATTTTAAAAGAATCAGGGGGATTTAATAGGAAAAATACCAAGTATGGTTCGAAACAAGGGAGAAAAATATTCGAAATTATACAATTTTAGTATCTGTCTGGTGTCAATTTGCCCCAGTTTTCGATTGATAAAAAAAACGGAAAAAATTAACTGTTGCCTTTCACCGGACTCTATCGTGTCAAAAAGCCAGAAATTTTCATGTTTTGCACAAATCTTCGGATACTTTGAAAGATACTTCGGAAATATTAGCATTGATGTAGATAAAAAACCGAACAAAAATTACACTGAAAAAAATTCAATGTCACCCGTGATCTATTTCAGGTATTTTCCCTCCAGATGCGTGAGTTCAAACGCCGCGCCAGTAACCGCATGCCACAATTCCCAAACTGTCGTCCTACGTAGCTGTGCACACATCCCATGTCAATTTTCCCCCCCAAAAACGTGTGCTCGTTTTTTCAAATCCTCGTGGTATATTTTATGTAACATATCCACAGATAAACCTTGAAATCATCATAGTAAACCAGCCACTGACTTTTTGGACGCGTTTACGCTAAATGGAACTATGTGCAAGCGGAAAGATGGGGTGTGCTTGTTGGTTGAGGGCCATAAGAATACATGGGAATTTTAAAGCGCCAGTGACGTCAGCGGTGACGGCCTGGCTCGACAACGACGACAAGCTCGTCGTCGGGGCGCTTTAACTCATGAGCCCTGTTCACAACGCTCTCAACAGCTTGCAAACAGCAAATTTTCTGCACCGTACGAAGAGAATTCTTTAAAATTTCCAACGGAACTTGCACGAATATGAGGTTTCCGGGGATTTTAGAAGAAATGAGGGTTTGCCAACTCCCTGAAGGGCTTTGGGAGGATAGGGTACTTTTGCGGTTAAGGGTCGCAGAGCGCCAGAGAGCGCTATAAAAGCGGCTGATACATGCATACATACATCCGCACGAATATTTTCCTGTAAAAAATTATATCGCCCAGTTAAATTTGGCAATAGCTGATGTGGCTTGGTTCCTTTCTGCTGAAAGCGGTCCGAATAAACGTTCAACTTCGAGAATCCAGTGATCGATTATATACTTTGATTTTTTCCTAGCTCCGAAGCTTTCCAGATTTTTAGCATTCCTCTTCGAAGCTAACTAATTGAAAACGTTTACAAGTATCACTGAAACCCCGCTGACTGATGTGCGCTCACCTACTACGTATCGAGGATTCTCGTTTGTTTTCATTTTTTCACGGGGGAGCCGCAAACGGCAGTAATGACTTTAAAAGCATGAGATTGATATTTTTACAATCCAGTTTTTCTCGGAACTTTCCGTCGTCGTTGGGGATCCTCTCACCAGTCCGTTTCTCTGTCTGTGCACACGGGTCGCTCTGATTTTTTCTTTTTTTTGGCTAAGTGTGTTTCCTCGGATTTTTGCAACCGTATCCTCTTACCAGTCCGTTTCTCTGTCTGTGCACACGTGTCGCTCCGATTGTTTTGGCTAAGTGCGGTTCCTCAGTTTTTTGCAATAGTTTGAAAAGAGAGCCGAGAGCGCTTCTCTGAAATATGCGCCATGGGGCTCTCGTCCGCTCTGTTGTCTGTGCGGTCATCTTCTTTGCTCCTTTTTCGGAAGCGCTAAGTGACTTTAGTTACGCAACTTTCAACCTCTGATCTTTCTATAAGTTGCATTTTCTTTAGCTTTGAATCCGAGCTTTTAGGCACTAAGTACGTGTGCCGCAACATGGTAAAAAGTATAGTAAGTGCAGTACATGTCGTCACGCTCCGGCCAAAATATCACCAAGCGTTATGCGGCGTTTCAAAATTTCCGCCGCCATTTGATTTTATTACAGAAAAATTGTTTGTTAAATCTGTTTGAAAATTGGCTAGGCCGGGAGGCTTGCTAAAAACACGTTCCCTACGGGTTGTGTAGGGCCGATGCATACGAGCTTCAGATACTTTATGCGACACCTTACCGACAGCGTAGAGCGGAGCATACCGCGTTCACGCCTCGCGCAATAGCGCCTTCAATTTTGCAGACGCAACATGGACATCCATCAAGTTCAAATAGTTGTATGTCTGCGCCGTCATCAACAAGCGTCCTTTTCCTTGCTTTATTTCCATATTTTGTTTGTTACCGTTTGTTAAATTTGTGATGGTGCCTGAATGGCTACGTGAGTAACCCAGCCGAAGATCGGAGAGACGCACTCAAAAAGAGATTAGTAGAATTTACCATACGAATGGTAAATTCTACCAATCTTCATGTCGATTCTGCCAGAGAAATGGTTACCTGTGCCAGGAGATAGTAACGTTTACCTTTCTTCTGGCAGAATTGACTCTACATTGACGCTGTGTGAAATACAGCGTGAAGGAATGGTAAATTCTACCGTTTTTTTTCAGTGCGTGATCGGGCCTCGTATTTAATTAATTTGAGCCGACGTGGAACTTCACGTTTTAAAAAATTTTTTTTGCACATCTAAGGGTTAAAATCGTCAAGGTATCCACACCGGAGGTAGAAAAACATCGAGGTATCAAAAAGGATTCGCTAAATTATTGCTTCTCTCCAACTTGTTGGCAGAATTCGGATCCATATTGCATGCATAGAAACATCTGGCAGGCTGTGTTTCTTCTCCGAAAACCTATTTCAAAGCCGAGAATAAAGCTAAAAGTATTCAAACGCGAAATAGTGCTTTCGATTAAGGCTACCAACTATTCAATTTTTTTCCTTTCATTTTTCTGTTTTTACCATTTAATAATAAATGGTACAGAGCTGATTCGAACGATACAAAGGTTAGTATACTTATTAATTGAGAAACGATTTTGAAAATATTTCAAACACCTATGTATATCAGCGGGGAACAGGTAGGATTATCATTAGTAATCAGTAGGTATTACTTTTACTCTATTTTGTTTCGTTTTCACGCTCCTATAAAGTTGAGTTTTTTCGACTTTAGGTACACTTTTCTCAGGAACTACGGAAGACATCTTAATTCTATTTTTTAAAATGACCAGCATAGCAAGCTTCATTTGTGGAACCAGAATTATAACCTTGTTATGTGTATTTTCTGTGCAATTTCATCACCATAAAACATAAGTCTTTTTTCTAAAAAAAAAAAAAAAAAAAAAAAAAAAAAAAAAAAAAAAATGTTCAATTTTAAGCAAATCAAGCCTGAAGTTTACCGAAATTCAAAATCTTGCTTCCAAAGCTCACCGACAAATCCATCATAATCGCTGCAAAATTTGAACAGCATACGTCCAGCAATTTCAGAGAAAAGTGTACCTAAAGTTGACGAATTTTAACATGGGTCGCCTCGATGAAACTGCACGGCTCATTTTCGCGGTCCGAAACAATCAGCTTTATTTCAAGTTTTGCTGAAAAATATTTCCCGCAGATAGTCTGCAAAAATGTGTTTCTTAGCTTGATAGATCCGTTTCGCAGACTATTTTTAGAGAAACCAGTAGCCTCTTGCAAAATGAGTTCAACATCTCGATATTTCCTTACTCCTGCTTTAGATTCACCTCAACATGAATTCAATGAGTATCACCATCAAGTTGGACCAGTTGCGCTGGTAACAGAATCGTGTTTTGATGGTTGATCTGGTAGATTAGCAAAAAATAAAAACATATGTTCAAACAGCAACTTTATATGTTCAATATTAACCGAGAAATCACATCTTGAAAAACTCGATCTATGGCCTCATCCACCGCTGTAGTGCATATCATTTTATACACAACCTTGGTTGATAACGTCATAAATCGAGTTTTTCAAGACGCAATTTGTCGGTTTATATTGAACGTAGAAAGTTGCTGTTTGGACGGATCTTCTTATTTGTAGCTGATCCGCAGGAATTAAGCATCAAAATACGATTCCGTGACCAGCGCAACTGACCCATTTTACATCTCGACATCAACATTCTACTGTGCTAAGGAGTAGCACTGTATGAGCATTCGAATACTGCCAAATTTCCTCTCAGAAAATATTTATTTTTAAAGAAAGTTATGTATATTTTTCATTGACATTTTCAGAGTCTGTAGATCAAATTACAAACGAAATCCTAAAACAAAAAATCGGAAGACAGATGGGTGGTTTCACGATAACTAGAATAGTTTTGTCGTCGTAACAGACAACACATTACTCAGTCATATTTTCAGAAATGATAATCACTCAAATTTTTTCGCATTTATCTTCCAAGGGTTACATATTACAACGCTTTCTGATGATTTATTGCTCAACTTCTCAATTAATATTATGTTAATCCCGAAAATGTGCTGTCTGTTACGCGGTAAAAAGTCAGCGCAACAGACAGCACATTTTCGGCCGTATGTATATTCAAATTGAAAAGTAGAGCGATAAATCTTTGAAAAGCGTTATAACACGTAACCCTGTGTAGATTAATGAAAAAAAATCGAGGGATTATCATTACTACTGAACATATGACCGAAAAATGTGTTGTCTGTTACGGCGACAAGACCATTCCAGTTATCGTGAAACCACCCAGATATTCACAAATTTTCCTGAAAATTCGTAATTTATTGAAGGAAATTTGGCAACGCCTGAGAGCTCATACGGTGTTCTTCCTTAGCACGCCAGCATTGTACCAAGATTCAATGCTGGGTTGGCGACTATTTTCCGAGTGTTTTTCTGTAGGATTCTTTCACGGAGCTGCTCGACCTGGTAGAGCATGACCCTTGCACCGGTTTGAAGAGCAACCGGTTGAGTCCGACCGATCTGCCACGGCAAGAGGTACTGGCCAATCAGCACTGCAGCAGGATGTACACCCTGCTCAAAAATTCAACGCCGAAGGAGCAGAAAGAATGTTCAAACGGCCGTTATGCCGGTTGCGCCGACACCCCAGAACCCGGCGGCTGGCTGACCTCGTCGTACCGTTGCCGTTGCGCAGTCATTGTTAGCAATAACGTCTGCAAACCAAAGACGGTACGTATATATTTCTTCATCGTGAGGCCTCGGATCGGATTCCGGAACCAGTTCCCGACCAAATGTCGGGAGTCATCGGTCCTAAAATCGTTACTTTGCTTCGTGAAAGTTTGAAGCGGAAACATATCTTTGCTCCTCTGACGTGAGGGCGTATCTCGATTTCCGTTCGAGCCCCAGGAAGCATGGATTATTATGTAAGGCAAGACACACGTGGATATTGAGATGTGCCCTTTCGTCGCGTCGGCGGCCGACCGTAAATCAGATCCAAATTCAACAATTTGGCAACGCCAGATTCCCTCCGTTTAAACCTATGTTAAATAATCGATTACTGTCAGAGCACTTGGCCACTTGGCCTCCAAGCATCGATACATTTCCATAGGTTTAAATTGAGGAAAACAATGTTGCCGATTTTCAAGATCTGCCGATGATCAGAATACTATAAGTTCACACTGAAAAAAAATCTCGGTGTATTTACTAAGAAGAGGGTAAAATTACCAAGAATTCAGGGTTCTATTTGATCTCAGTTTTTTCTTGGTAAAATTATCATTTGTGGAATTGGTAATTTTACCGAGAAATCTCGGTAAACTTATTGAACTTTTTCGGTAATTTTACTGAACCTTGGTAAAACCGCCAATATTTTTTATCGACTGTGGTAGAATTACCGATATAAAATGGCAAAGTTACCGGGAATTGATTACCAATAAAAGTGGTATTCTTACCAGAATAAAACAGTAAAAATACCGGTTTTTAGGTAAGCTTACCAGTCTGTCTTGGTAAAATTACCAGTAATTGGTAAAAAAGTGAGATGGTAAAGGTACCAACGGACCGTGGTAAAAACGCCGAGAATTTTTGTTCAGTGCATACCTTGTGTAATGGTCCTATAACGATCCAAAATTTTGAAGGATAACAGGAAACGTCCTTCTGTTGTCCTAGGTTTCGATCTACAGCTGCGTGTACTCCGCTCTGAAGAAGCACAAGAGCCGTTCTATCGCCAGGTGGAAATCCTTCAGGAAGAGCATATCCCGGTCCTCATCATCAGGGATGTCCCCGATATCGAGACAGTTTTCGACGATGACAGTCAATATCAACCAAGACCCTCGGGGCTCTCGAGGCTACGCCTACCCACCGGATCAACCTTCTCCGCCTCCACCAAGCCGCCCACCGCCGCCTCCACCCGATCGCCAAGCACCTCCACCACCCCAAGCTCCGCCTCCACCAAGCCGCCCACCGCCGCCTCCACCCAATCGCCAAGCACCTCCACCACCCCAAGCTCCGCCTCCACCAACGGCGGGCTCCCAGGTCCAACGCCTCGACTCACTGCGTCTCTCAGATCGTTACGAGGGCTTCTACCTCAACGAGCTATCGGACAGCGAAAGCGCCCGCTGGAAAATCCTCCGTCCTCCTCCGCCTCCAGCGACCTCCTCGGATAGCGAGACGGAATCAAGCGACGAGGACTGGATAGCTAGGCCCCCTCCACGACCCCCCGGATACGTTGACCCCCCGGCTACGATCTTGCGGGCACGCCGACCTTCCCAACCCGACAAATCCGGCTCCCAGGTCTTTGGGAGATCTTCCTCACAGGTCATCTCTAATGGTAACGGTGGCCTTTCCTCCCAGGTCACTGTGAATGGTAACGGGAGAACCTCTTCTCAGGCCCCTCTGGCGCCTTCCAACAGCAACAGGCGGAGAATGAGATCGACCAGTAGTGGATATAGGAATTGAGGGAGATTTCGTGACTATGAATTGGACGTATTTCTGTCAAACGGAACTACCCGCCCAACACGAAATATTGCAGCAATATTGCAGCAATATTGTCAATATTGAAACAATATTGTCATGTAAATATTTCCTTAAATACACTGCAGAAATATGTTGACAATATTGCTAAAATATTTCATGACAATATTGTAACAATATATTTATAAAAATGTTTTAAATATATTTACAAAATATATTTATGTAATTACTTTTAAAACAGTTTGTAAAATATATTTACAAAATATTTTAAAATTATTTTAGAAATATTAGTTTAAAAATATTTGTTTAATATTATGTTAAAAATATTTTATAAATATTTTNTTACCTTGACAATATTGCTGCAATATTGTCAGGGGGGCGGACAACAAACTATTGCAGCAATATTATTTCGATATTGTTAAAATATTGTTAAAATGTTTTTGACAATATTTCAGCAATATTTTTAAAATATTTCCGTGTTGGGCGGGTAAGCGCCATAGGGGGAGGAAGGTAGAGAGGGGCTTGGGTTGGCAGCGGAACCGGGCGTCGGGCTCATTCCGTCCTATGCTCGCAATGCTTTTCCATGGCGCTTAGTTCCGTTTGACAGAACGCGCTATCTGGCATTCTAAATTCCTCAAAAGGAGCTCAAATTGGCGCTTAGTTCCGTTTGATAGAAATACGTCCAATTAGCCACGTTGAAGACTTCTGTAAACCTCTTTCAATCACAATGAAGAGAATGAAGACATCTTTTAGTTTCGTACCTCCCCCTTCAGTGTCGTACTGGTGCGCATTAGAGTTCAAAAAATTTAATTTTGACTCTAATTTTAATTTTTGGAATTTCTTGGCTTTGTTTCTGTGCGAAATGGTGTGGACTCAGCACCATTTCTCCACCTTGTTACATTTTTTAGGAAGTAAGCTATTTAATAAAAAATTATAAGAATACGGCCCTCGTTCTTGTAGGTATGACGGTAACAAGTATCCTGGTGCAGTATTTATCATCTACTGCATCTACTGACTTTACTCAGCTGCATTACTGCTTCAGAGTATACTGCCGAGCTAAGTAGTAACGCCGTAAGAGCATTCGAATGTAGTCAAATTTCCTCGCTGAGTATATTTATATTTGAAAAAAATATGTGTATTTTCTTTGAGATTTTCAGACTTTTGAAATCAAAATACGAACAAAATCTCTTGAAAAATCAGAGGAGTTATATTCACTAATTTCCCTAAAAAATCGTGATTTGTTGAAGGAAATTTGGCAACGCCTGATAGCTGTTACGGCGTTTTTACTTGGCACGGCAGTAAAATCACCCATATTATTAATTCGTCGAACTGGACGATGCACGATGCACTAGTATAAATAGCGACGCAGTAGTGTTGCAGTAGCGCGCCTATGAAGAGAGTGTCAGGATCAATTAGAATCCCCAAACAAGTTTTATAAAAGGAAATAATATTAAATAAAAAGAGGGAGGCGAGAGAAACAGGATTGGCAAAAAAAAAAAAAAAAAAAAGGATCACCACTTTAATTTTAATGAGCTACTAACCGTGAAAAACTCCCCCCTCAAAGTTCCGCAAAAGTTATTACTAGAATCCAGCTTTGAACTAAAGTCATGGGTTGAAATAGGAAGGGAGCAGTGCTTCTCCATCTCCCCCCGAATTTTTCATGACCTCCTCCAGAAAATATGACGGATTCAACAAAATAGACTCTCGGTGTTTTCGCCTTCTGTTAAGTTGTGCTTCAATCGAATTTTCGGTTCGAACAGCTCAAAATTGCGCCTAAGGTTTCGCGAGTTTCATTTTCTTCTTGGAAGGCCTTCTGAAGTACTTCAGACTCCCAGTTTGAGCTGCCACTCTTTCAATGACGTGTAATCCTGCGCCTCAAACACTTTTTTTTATGGGCTGCCTCTCTGTTCATTCTTACCTAAAAAAGGCCTATACTTACACCTACGACTAAAGCTATAGCTTTTACCGTGCACAAGTCTCATTAGCGTTACACCGTGGCACATGCTATTTTCAAAGCTGTCAGTTTCCGAGATTGCTTTTTAGTACCTTTTTGCGATTTTTTACAATCCAAGACCGAGTCGAAACTCATCGTATGACGCAAAACATGATAAGACTTTTTCTAACACTAAAAATATTTCAGATACTTTGTGGAAGGGTCCTAAATGTTTGGGATGCTTTTGTCATTGTCCGTTTTGTTTACGTGTAATGATCGTTCGAACTCTACAAGTTTTGGTGGGGAATGATAAAATGTATTTAATGTCACGTTATGACCTGGATGCAACTATTCAAGCTCTGTAGATGTCCGTGTTGCATACGAATGGGACTGAAGGCGTTTTGACTTGCCAGGCACTCACCACCGCACAGTGGATCGAGTCAATGGGAGAGGTCGGACAAAAGCTGGAAACTTTAAACGCCTATAATTCCGATTAGACACACCTTTGAGGTTCCAAAAGTGGCTCCATTGGTTTCTTCGTGAAATTTTCTTTTGAGAGTATTCCTTGAAATTTAATATGTGACGAAAAAAACATCAAAATTTGCAGTTTTAGTAAAGAGTGTCGTGTCCGACATCTCTAATTGACTCGATTCACTGTGTATCGGTCCAGCTTAACCCGCGGCGAGGCGGACAGAACTGCGAGGATCCGAAATGACAAAAGCTCTTTCTATGTTTCGTTTAAACTTTTACCCGTTAATAATTATTCATAAAATCATGCTCAGCACTGAGAAAAATCTATGGCTAATAAACCGATTAATGGTTCATCAAGGAACACCACTAATAGTGGTAAATGCAACATATAATAGTTAGTTAGTTCATAAATCACGACGATCAGCAACTAGCAAATGGACCGCGCTAAGCAGAAAGGAACTGAGCCACATCAGCTATTGCCAAATTGAACTGAGCAATTTAATTTTTCACACGAAAACGGTTGAGCGGATTTTTGTGCAAATTTCAGTGAATCTTCTGAGTAGTGCGTAGCAAATTCCTTCAAATTTTCAAAAGAATCTGCTCAAACTTTCTCTTGTAAAAATCCAAATTGCCCCAGTTAAGTTTGGCAATAGATGGTGTGGCTTGGTTTCTTTCTGCTCTACGCGGTCCGTATATAACTTAGTACGGTTCACAAACCAGAATCATTAGTTCATTTACCACTATTAGTAATTTTCCACATGAACCATTGACTGGATTATAAAGCCAAATATTTTTCTTCTTGAGCAAATCGTGATGTTAAAACTGGAGCATAAAATATACTCAAATCATACGTCTCTGCATAGCTATTCGTATCTATGAGATGTCTTCGTAAACGAAGGTTTGAAGGTGCTTCATCATTTTGGATCCTCACACGGGTAAAGCGATGCGTGGAGTGCCTGGAGAGTCAAAACGCCTTTACCTGCGTGTGTATGCAACACGGACTTCCATGGAGTTCAAATAGCTGCATTCAGGCGTTATGATGAAACTCGCATGGAGTTTGCCGCCATGCGGAATGGGTCTGTTGCAAGCAATAGATACAGCCAACTGAATACACATTTTAAACGTAAATTCACTGAAAATCACGTTGGGAACATACAAATAGTCTGAGATCCACTCCTTAGCGCGCAATTTGCGTAGTTTGTAACATGCTTTTCCAAATTTACCTTGCGGGTAGTTTTTTTCGGTGGCTGGCAGTCAGGTTTGTCCAAAGAGAGGCCTGACCTAAGTAAACAAACAATCTTGCAAACTGTTGTAAACTCTCCTCGCGGAAGATTTCAATTGATTCAAAGCTTTTGTTCTTGTAAAATAAAGCAAGAAAAAGGAAGCAAATGCTTGAAAGCAAATGAAATCATACAATAGAAAAAGTTATTTAATCATTTGTTTGCGTTGAGTAATTCTCCCCTGTTCCTCTGCCTGTGCAAGCCTGGTCCGCGGTGACTGAGAAAAACTGCCCGCAGACGCGGATAACTTAAGTTGCGTGTTAGAATTTACACAGGTTGCGCGCTAAAGAGTGGATTTCAGACTTTTTTATGCACCCAACGTGATTTTCGAGCGAACTTACCGTTATAAAAAGTATTCAGTTGGATGTATCTCTTACGTGTAACAGACTCATTGGTTATGAGCTCTGCTTGTTTTTCTTTTGTCTGAACTTTATTCCAGCGTCGCCTGTAGTGCTGCTGAAGTAAACCAATACCAATTTTCATCGGACCATTGTCAAGTTTCCGGAAAATGCTTCGATTATTCACAAGTACATAATACCACAATAAGGAAAATTTCAACGATATACGAAAAAAACTCAAGAATATAACTTCAGACACAGTAACGAGAGATTGTAATGATTTGCTTTGGTAAAAAAATTAAAAAAATAAAAGGAAAAATTTTGCCGACTTTGAGCTTTTTAAGGTATCAAGATTCGTACTGATCTTGAAATTCGTGGAAATAACAAAAAATCTTCTTTCGTATTTTTTATTTTTTACAATTGCAAATCATTGCAATCTCTTACGAAGTCTATTTCCGAGGTTATACTGTGACTGTGGTATTCCACTCGATGTTCGTCCAAATTGGAATTTTTATAATGCTGTGTTCAGGATCTCCTTAACAATGTAAATCATATGGGGCCTCTTAAGGAAAGGATCTGTTTGAGACAGGACTATGAAGGCGGCGGCGCATATGTGGATCGAGTCAATATGAGAGGTCAGACATAATTTAGAAACTTTAAACGCTTATAACTCCGTTTATACAAAACTTTGAGGTTCTAAAAGTGGTTCCATTGGTTTCCCTGTGGGATTTTCTCATAGAGGCACACCCCTTAAAGTTTAAAATGTGACGAGATTGACATCAAAATTTGCAATTTTTGTACAAAATGTCATGTCCGACCTCTATGATTGACTTGATCCACTTTTCGAAGGAAGAACGCTGAGCGTGCCGTCATGCAAGCGCGGAACGCGCATTGGCGCCTGCAAACCTAAGTGGATACTTCACGCATTGCGCAATGCTTGAAGTATCCACTTAGGTTTGTAGG